CATGGGTTGGGGGGGGGGGCACAGTACATGGGTTGGGAGTGGGCACAGTACATGGGTTGGGTAGGGGGCACAGTTCAGGGGCACAGTACATGGGTTGGGAGTGGGCACAGTACATGGGTTGGGTAGGGGGCACAGTTCAGGGGCACAGTACATGGGTTGGGAGTGGGCACAGTACATGGGTTGGGTAGAAGTGGTGTGTCCCTTCGGGTACACAGGGCGGGGCCCTTCTTCTGTAGCACTAACACTCTTCCCCTCTTTGTCCAGCACAGATCTTTACCATGTCTGGCGGTGATTTCCCCCACGAGATCCAGTCTTTGTTTGAGAAACGCTACGCATACAACAAGGACCCAACATGGCGCCTGCCCGGCTCCACGGAGATCCTGACTTCTGACCATGAAGAGTTCCCCCGCCTTCTGTCCCTGAAGGAGTCCCTGAACAAAGTGAAGAACCTGCTGAGTGACAAGAAGTTGGACGAATGGCACCGGCACACCGCTTACACCAACAAGGCCGGGAGGGTGGTCCCCGAGGTGCGCAAACAGGCCAACGCTGAGCTCTGCACTCAGGCCTGGTGTAAGTTCCACGAGATCGTGTCCACCTACCGGCTGATCCCCGACAGCGCCCTCTGGTACAGCGAGCTGAACAGCGTGCACCTGTGTGAGGCGCCGGGGGCTTTCATCAGCAGCCTGAATCACTACGTGAAGACCCGTGAGCTGCACTGTGACTGGACCTGGGTGGGCAACACGCTGAACCCGTATCACGAGGCCAACGACGGTATGGTGATGATCGCCGATGACCGATTCATTGCCAACACGCTGCCGTGGTGGTTTTTCGGGCCGGACAATACCGGCGACATCATGACGCTGACCTACCTAAGCGGCTTGCAGGACTTTCTCAGAAACGTGTCCGCCGTGCACCTCGTCACTGCCGACGGAAGCTTTGACTGCCAGAGCGACCCCGGAGAGCAGGAGACCCTGGTCTACCCGCTGCACTACTGCGAGGTGGTGACCTGCCTGACCATCCTGAGCCCCGGGGGGTCCTTCGTCCTGAAGATGTTCACTTTCCTCCAGCATTCCTCCATTAATCTCGTGTACCTCCTGAATTGCTGCTTCCGCGAGGTCCACGTCATCAAACCGGGGACCAGCAAGGCCGGGAACTCCGAGGTCTACGTGGTCTGCCTCGGCTACATTGGCAGCGCAGAGATTCGGGAGCACCTGACCAAAATGGCCGCCCAGTTTGAGGAGAAGATCGGCAGCAAATCCCTCTTTTCCCACAAGGACCTTCCGCCATCCTTCCTGGAGGCTCACTCCGCGTGCTGCACCTTCTTCCACGAGTATCAGACGCAAACCATCCTCGAGAACCTCCGTCTCTTTTCCCAGATGGGGGAGGGGGAGCAGGCCCACCTGGACCGTCTACGAGAGTCTGCGGTCCTCTACTACCTGCAGAGCTTTCAGATCGCGTACATTCCCCGCAAGCGGTGGCTGGTGAGGAAGCCGCGGGTGGGCTGCAGCCTTAACGCTCGCTGGCTGGGCGCAAGGAATCGCCGGACGGACACTTACAACGAGAGGAAGCAGCTGGAGGCCCTGACGTGGGAGGAGAAGGTCGCTCGCGGCTACTTCAGTTCCTGGTTGGAGGACCACGTACAAGGCGTCGCCAGCAACGGCTGCCTCCTGGAAGGTTCCAGAGCCGGGCTCCGGCACGACGACTGGTACGTGCTTCGGGGCCGGCGGCTCACCAGGATCCAGAGCTCCTCGTTTTGTGACAGCGAACTCCTGAATACCTTCAATGAAACCATTGAGAGTTGTCGGGGAGGGGAGGCCGGCTCGCTGCCGGGGTGCCCTTCCTGTTCTCCGCAGCTGCTGGACAGTTTGGTGTCGGAGGTTCTCTGCCGAGCGGACGACGGGCACCATGTCCTGGTGATCGGGGCGTCTCCGCTGTTCGATGCGCTGAGACGGAGGCACGTGGCGGCGGGCTTTGTGGAGTCTTCTGCCCCTCAGCAGCCCCTCTCCGTTCTTCACGACGGAGATCCCCATTACCAGCGGCAGTTGTTTGACTCCGTCCTCTGCGCTTTGCGGCAGTTGCCGAGCGGCGGCACCTTGGTGCTGCCTATCCTGTCCTCCCTGACACGCTTCACGGCCGGGGTTGTGTATGTATTGTATCATTGCTTCAAGGTCATTGGCTTCTCCTGCCCCACCAAAGATCTTACCCCGGGCACCAGTGCTGTACTCCTGTGTTGGGGGTACCACCCTCTGCCCCGGCCGGTTTACCAGCGCCTCCAGCAGCTACTGACCGACCCGGCGCTGACCGCCGGCGGGACGCAGCAGATGCTTGAGTTCATTCCCATGGAGGAGCTTCTGACGGGCCCTTTCCTGGAGTTCCTGTGGGACCTGAATGCCGTTGTCATCAGGCACAAGCTGCATCTAATGGCCCTCCGAGAAAACCAAAAGGTGCTGCGGAAAACCGGCCAATCGCAGACCGCCGTTACCGCGCCCGACACAGGAATGGAGCACGGGGTCCCGCAATGACCGGCCGGGCCCCTGGGATGTAGATAAGTCTGTATAGTGTAAATATTGTACATATAGGTGTCACATTTTTATTTTCACACTTCCTGACCAGCCGACGTTTTATTTCTGGTGGAGAATGAAATGTTTTGGATTTTCCGGCAGTTCTCTGGACAATATTTGAGTTTGGAGTTCTTATGTCTCCGGGAGCTACAACGAGTGCAGAGTTCTGTCCCACCTTCCCCGGTCACATGATCCGCCATTTTTTGTGCCTCATTGTGAGAGAAAAGTCGGAATGTTTGTTACATTTTCTTTACAATAAAAGGTGTGAAGTGACGGCGGCCATTGTGTCCTTTATCAATAAAGTTCTCCTCCAGGCCGTCATCTGCCCGTCACTGGACAGTGATCTATCGGGGTAGATATCCC